CCCCAAAACCCCAAAACCCCGTCTTGACAGTCATTATTAAGAAAAGTCTAATTGAAATTATAGTATTTATTTATTCTAGTATTAATTACATACAATGTCCAAAAAGAGTAGAAAGCAAAGAGAACGCAAGAGAAAAACTCAAAAAGAGGTATGCTGCTCGAGACTAGACTTAATAATTATTATTTATTTTAGGAAGAAAAAGCACAGCCCAAAAAGTATAAACCAGAGGAGTTAAAAGAAAAAGAGAACAATAGACATGTCAGAAATGACTCTCTTAATTATCTCGTTCTCTGGAAAGAAAATCATGAAGTCTGGAAGTTTAAGAAATCTAGATAGGTCTTCTTGTTTAAAAACATGTATAACGTTGAGAAAGTACCGACTAAGCATTTTAAGATCTTAAAGAAATATATCAAGGCTATGCAAGGTCAATAAAAAGAGGTAACAATAATATATTCTCTATATATATGGTGACTTATCAAAATAATATAGAAAATATTGGAAGAAGCACTAGCAATTATCGAAAAACCTCAAGAAAAGATAGTATTCGATGACATTGAAAAGAGTTAAATAGATTAATGCGATACTAGTGTTGAAAAACAAAAGATGTAAGAGCAATTGTTACAGAGTAAGCTCAAGAGAGCTGAGAAAATAGCAAAATGCCTCTCTAAAGAGTGATCCTTCAGCTAATATTGGAATAAAACAATCTAGAACAGTGAGTATATATAGTTTTAATTAAGGCTTTCATAATTAACTAAGTTATTATTTTGGAATCTATGCATCAAACTATCTAGAATCGAGAAAACTCTGTGTTTATCTCACTATATCTATACTGTGGCTAAGTATCTGAACAGATCACTCAGAGTGAGCACATTTTTCATCTTGGGATAGCCAGATTCAACCTCTATATATCCAAGTTTGGACTCTGGAATCAAACTTATTTTCTCAATCACATCTCTTAGAGTGTCTGCTTTTTTCAATAGAAGGATTCTTTCTATTCCTAATAATTTACCAAATAAGTCTTCTATCACTAAATCATGATCCCCCTTGATCTTTTAGTCATGAACTGTTTCTTGCAACTTTCTCTCCTCTTACATCAAGAGATTCTATTATTTGACTTGCCTAGCTAGTTCAGCCAAATTCTGCTTTTCAGCTTTATATTCTTCATCGTCCTCATATTCGTCAGAACCTTCCTCATCAGAGTCTAATTCCTCATCTATTGTTATAGTCTTTTTTCTTTTACTTGTCTTGTTTACTTCATCACCTGAGTTGTGATCTCCTTTTGATTCTTCATTGTGTTTGCCATCAAATTGATTAACTCCTTAAGTTGTAGTGGATGCAGTTTAATCCATAAATAATGCATCCTCTTCCAATGCATTTAGATCAGTGATAAAGTTTATAACTGGTTCATCTAGATATTTATAATAGTTAGGAACCCTGAACATAAACATTAGATCTGTTAAGTATGCGAGGCCGATCGTTCTAGTATTATAATCCTCATTTGCATTTATTTACCTCTCAATAGGTATACAGGATATTCTGTTGTCTCTCATCTTCTTTAAAGTTTAGAAAAGAGTCTCATTTTCCTTTGCCATTACCACATTAGAGTTAGTTGGGAATACCTGTCTGGTAGCCAAATTGAAATCAGTTAGTGAGTGCTCAAAAAAGCTTAGATCCCCATTATAGTTATCAACCAGGAACCTTATAATATCGTTAAAACAGATGAACCCTTGAACCTAAGTTTAGTCTTGGTTCATTAGACCAATCTGGTTGTAGCCATTTTAACTCATGTAAGTTATTAGCTTGAAAATGGAATCATCAATATTGAAGACAACTAGTTTACTTTTATGCACTCTCACCACATCATTCTCAATTGCGAACCACTCCTTCAAGCTAATCTGATTAAGCAACTTAGGTAACATTGACAAGTCCTATCTCAATTGTAAATTGCTATCGATTCGACGGAAGCCATTCCTAAGATGAGTCTAGCGAGAGAGGTTCTAATATCCTGGATTCATCATGAGATAAGTGTCAATGAAGAATTATATATAATTCTTTTCATTCAATTGATTCAGATCCTCTCTTGAAAAGGAATCTTTCAATGTCTAGGTAAAGTAGACTATTATCTCTAGCAAATGCCTGATTGACATCATTCCTAGAAAGTCTTTTTTCTCTGAATCCCAGCATACTGAGTTTTGAACATTTTATTCAATGACCATTGCATTGATACATTGCTATAGAGTTGACTCATGATTTAGAACCACTATCTATTTATTAATATTACTCATAATTGTAGGTCTTACTTTAGCATTGTCTGGGAGAAGCTCTGCTACAGTATGATCTTTGAAAAATGCACTAATTGAATTCTACATGTTTTGAGTTAGCAATTTGATATCATCAGTATTTTAGGCATCATTATTTGACATTTTGCAATTTATATTTTGATAAAACTATAATACAATTGCTAGTTTTGAATTTATTCTTTCTTCTGGGGTTTTGGGGTTTTGGGGTTTTGGGG